TTTTCTTCTTTTTTTTTTATATCCACCAGTGTAAGAGGGGCGTATACTCATTTTGTCTTCGCTTTGCCATAATGTATGTAGCACCCAAAAGCAAAGCTTCAAAGATCCTACAAAGTATGTATATTCTTGATTAGCGTGAAATTCGAAATTAATTTAGCCATGTCTGTCCGTCTGTGTGGCTGCCTGTCAATGCGTTATATGTTCTTGGCACACTCCTGATCACAAAAATGAAGATATCGCCATCAAATTAGAAAGCGTTTGCAAACAGGTTGCCATTGAAAGTGGCAGTGGGCCAAACTGGTCAGAGCAGAAGCTCGCTGTGGAGCAATGCAAACTGAACGCAATTCGTGGCTTTTTGCTGGTTTCTGAGAAATTATAAAACTTGGAAGGATAAAAATTTCCATATTTACTTTACGAGACACTCTACACCGTACGTGAAAAAATGGGACAAATCGGCTATGCACCCACACAAACTTACAAACGATTAAATTTTATTATTTGAGGTTTTACTCTTATTTATCATAAGGCAAATAAGACGAAATGTTGAAAACTATTTTGTATAAGTGAAGATATATTATGTGCCTAAATATGGGTATGAATCTAAAAGGAATATGGTAGACACCGCGACCTGGTGGCTGAATTTTTCTAAAATAATATCAGCGATATGAGTAATATATAAAAGGACTGGGAGCGTAGAAAGCGGAAAGCGTAGTGGTGGTGGGTATGCGAGATTCGACCTTCGCCGAATATAACTTTCTTGCTTGTTTTTTTTTTTTTTTTTTAGATTTCAAAGACATTTTTCAACAAAATAACGACTTTATGGTGAAAAAGATGAAATCATTAATTCTCATTTTCTTTTTGCCTAAGCAGAAGAAAAGTGAAAGCAATTCTTAAGAAGCGAGCACTACCTCTTAAAGTTGTATTAAGTTTCTGTTTGATATGAAAAAAAAACAAAAAATTAAAATAGATTCGTATATTTCGTGACAGGACTTTCAAATGAGTGCCTGAAAGTGTCGCGGTAGAGGAAAAGACTCCACCTCTTAGAAAACGGAAAAATTCGTGTAAGTTCCATTACGTTCCTAGTTATTTGGTTTGTACTAAACATTAAGCACACGATGAGATTCATAGATTTTCTCAAAAGACTTATAAAAATAGGCAGAGGAAAGCAACTCTTGCGAAGCGGACATCTTCTGTTAATTCTCTTCTCTCTTAGATTCTGTTTTAATTGGGTTCTACTAAACATTAAGGAATTTACATGTTTTCTAAGAAGGCTTTCGAAAACCCCCCATGAACGCCTAAAATCATCAATCCAAAGGAAAGCAGTTCTCAGCGTTCAGCGAATCGGACAAATTCCCTTAAGTTCTATTAGGTTCTTAGTTAATTGGTTCTCTCTATACATTAAATACATGATGGAATTCACCTAAGCTTAAAATATATATATTTTTTTAAGGTTTTCTTTTAAATAAGAACAAGAAAATATTTATAGAGTAATTTGCTTACCTATTAGGAATGATCGTGTTAGTGAGTTACGTTGTTTGATTGAAAAGCGATCGAATCATCAAAGGCAAATTTCATAATCGTAAATTTACTGAAACTTGAAGACACACGGCAGGTATTTCCAATTGATTTTGTAAGACCTGTTCATTTAACGTTTAATGGAGACCTCCATGCCCCTTCAATATAATTATAAACAAGAGTTCTTTTCTATTCCTGCAAGATTGGAGACATATTCCTTTTAATAGAAACATTTTCAAGATCAAGGAGTAAGCTTTCCAAATCATGACTCCATATAGGCATGTCTGTCCTGTCAGTCCGTTTGTGTATCTGCATTCATGAAGATAACGGCTTCATTGAAAGGCGTTTTGACCGAAAACGGGCAAAATCGGTTCAAGACCCGTCCACATAATACGACGTAAGCTGGGAGCATCTCTCCTTATTGAAAAGCGAAAGAAAAAGTCAATCTTCCCAATATTTAATCGATGTAACGATAAAACTGCTTATCTATATTGTAAGGATGACTGTACTGTACCCGTAGAAAAAAAAAAATACCATAAGGTAATGAAATTTGATTTCTCTTTAAATTTTTCTTTAAAGCGAAGTTTTTGTTGTAAAAATGTGATTACAGACGAGAATAGTTTTCTTACTTGCTCTAAATTCATTGTTCAACACCCTAATCTAATGTACATGTATGTAAATGTATGTTTTTGATTAGTTATATCCATTCACATCCATCTAAATGCTCTTCGAATTTTCTGGATCAGTGCGAGGCAAAATCGAAACTTGCTACATATAGTAATCAGATCATGTTATATCATTAGATTCATGGCCTAAGTCTAAATTAAAATGATCGTTACTCGATCAGGAGTATGGCATTACCAGCAAATTGAAACATTTCGAAGAAGAAGCAAATTTTATGAAATGCTAATTTCATGAGCCCTCAAAACGCAGTAATCAGCCTTAGGGAACGAAAATTTAACAAAAATATATATATAAATAAATTTTTACCGCAAGAAAATTTCGAGACACATTTCACAAACAAGAGAAAAAGCCGTTCCTACAGAGCCGTTTATATAAGAAGATACTGGAGGCCTTCAATTGTCTCACGAATCTCCGAAGCGCTTCTCTGCGTTGCTTTTGCTCGTCTCAATCTGACTACCGTTCCATGGTAAATTTCCTTTACAAACAGATAAGGGCTATAAACTTAGATCGCTTAGGTCGCTTAGAGACCTTAGACTATCTTAAATTCAAAGACAACAAAATAAACATGGAGAGCAGGGAGAGAGAGAGAGAGAGAAAAAAAAAAGGGAGAGAAAGAGGTATTTATCATATTAATTGGTTTTACTGTGTTAAGAGAATTGTGGAATGGAAAGGAGTCTCCGTCACAGGTATCGCATGGTTTCGTCATCATAGTGCTTTTCAACTTAGACTAAGTATAGTAGGCATTTCCAGAGTAAAGACTGCAGGCATAGTAACTATCCATCAATTAAACGTCGATTTTTTCAAGTCCGGTAATAGATGAAAGTCGCGTGAGAGATTTGAATCTATTAGGCATTTTGTAACCTCAGCCAAAACTGCGTACGAAAGCCGAGAGACCGAGTTGTAAAAATATTATTCTCTTTATTTGAAGTTGAGTAGCTTGGGGATGATTTCTCAGGATGTCAACTATTTTAGCAACGATATCAGTGAGGTATGTGTTGTGAATGCGAAACGAAGAGACATTCGGAAAACTCTTGGTTGACATAGGGGCCGCGCAGTTCGTTATCTGCTTTTGCTTTTTCAAGCACATTTAGTAACTAGTTTTGTTAACAAGGCTGGTTACTGACCATCTTTCACATATCCCGTTGCCCGACCTCTGCAAAGCAATTTCTAACATTTCTATCAAATTTGTAATCGATATCTTCTTGTTGGCGACATGGAAAGTACCATCAGCACGCATCAAACTGACGGATAAACATGACCAGATCGATTCAGAATTTCATCCTCAGGAAGAATATGTATATCTTATACACTCTCTGAAGTTTCCTTTTGAGCGTTGCTAGCATTATGACAAAATGAGTCTATCCTCGACCTGCTGCGATGGATACAAGAGCAAACATATAAACAAACGGAAACTATTATAGAAGAATTAAAAATCCTACACCAGTTCGTTTAATATAGGTATTTATATAACGACCTTTCATAACAAGGCTTTAGATGTGCAATGGTCGCAAAAGTTGTGCGATCCGAAACATTTTCAATGTCGCTCGTTCTTGGGTCAAAAATTACGATCAGTTCATTGAAAATAAGGAAACAAGACGGATAGACAGACAAGCTTAGATGATGAGTAATTCTGAATCGCTTTTTATATAGTAGAAGGTGGGTCCATTGCACGTGCGTCTGAGTGGTGCATGTATCCCCCAGGGGGGTTTAGGGTATAAAAAATATATCATAAACTACATAAAAGAAGAAATAAAAGAGAAGAAAGTTAATCGAAACTCGGGAAAGATCGAAATGATATTAGGTATCTGGCGGACGTCATAATGTGCACAGTATATATGTATATTTGTATATATGTATATCCATTCACAATCGAACTATCTGCCTTTTTCACTTAACCCGGCAAGCCATCTGTTGTTGATTTGTTGACTCCCAGAAGAAGAAGAAGAAGAAGAAGAAGACGAACTAAATTCAACTTGACTATGAAAGTCAAACAAAATGTGTTAATAGCTAAAAAATTCATACTTAAGGTATGTTATGCTATAGGTTAGATGAAAACTATTGCTGTGCACTGTGTGTTCTTGAATGAAAATGAAAATGAAAAAGGGAAAAACAACAAATAATGAAAATGAATGAAGAACAAGCATATACAGTATATCCGTGCAAACGTATAAAATGAAAGCTTTTGTTCATAGTTGTTATTGTTGTTATCCATTTGTGTGGGTAATATTTGACACATAGACGCAATACACACGAGTAATAAGCTTTGAAGTTTATTTGATTTTGATTTTGGTAATTGATTGCCGAAAAAAAAAAAAATGTGAAAAAATTGAGGAAGCAAACGTTCGATTTGCTTGAGTAGAACATAATCATTCAGGCTTAAGACTATTTATTCGAAAATGTTATTACAATCATCACCGCCATCGTCATCATCATCATTATCATCATGAATATAGAATTGTTTATATATATATATATGTTTGTGTATGTTTTTCCTTCTTTTTATGTACTTTTTAGATTTCTTTATGCAAATGCTGTAAAGTGAGTGTGTTTTGGCAAAAAAAAAAATAATAATAAAATAAGAGGAAGAAAAAAAAATAAAACATAAATAAATAAATAGAAAATTAAATGTTTAAATACCCAACAAAACATAAGTAAACAAACATTGAATAAATAATGTTTATTAGATATTTGCATAGCAAACATACATACGCATCAAAAAGAACAAACATTACAAAATATTTCTACCCACATTAGAAAGAGTACGAGTACCTTAACTTTAGTCAATGTCGTAGTCAAAATCGAAATATTCGTAGAGTTTGATTTTATTTACTTGCATATACACGCACTTTAACATATACATATATATATATATATATATATATATACATATATATATATAAACATTTATATATATATATATATATATATACAAAAAGAAAAGAATAAAAAAGAGAAAACAAAAAAAAGAGTGTATTATGTAAAAAAAAAAAAAAAAAAAAACATAACACAACAAAGAAAAAAAAAAGATCCCATCTTATGCCCCACCTAACCTAACCTAAACCTAAACTAAATTCAACTGAATGCAAAGCAATTAATTTGAATAGAATTTTAATCAAAATCATTATCAAAAAGGAGAAATTTAACACAAAAGCAATATAATCATAAATAATTTCAATATATCGATAAAGAGAAGAATTGTTGACCTTCTTTCTTGCACTTGTGTGTCGTGTACATTGTGTTATATATATATATATATATATATATATATATTCATTTTAAACTGATTTGCATTATAATATCAATTTAAATAATAAGTAAATGAAATGAAAACAATTTTATTAAAAAATCGAACATAATAACAATAACAGGACGAAAAAGAAAAAAAGAAGAAGAAGAAAATTAAAATTGACTTTTTAAAGGATTTTGTAAAGCAATTCAATGATAATTTTTAATAAACTATTTAATACATTACGTTACGTTCCGTTTATTTACATTTCTTTTAATTAACTTTAAAATAAAATAAAAATAAAATAAACTAAAAGAAAAATTCTCTTTGCATTTAAATCGTATTTAAGTTGAAAATCGTTTTGCAAATAAACAGCAAACAAAATGTTTATGCTGATTGACTTAAACGATAGAGGCAGGAGTTGAATAGCGAGAATCGTTTAAGGCGATTTCGATTCGATTGAAATAAAATGCACGTTAAACATACCAGTCAACGCAGAGTAAGTGGACCTGGGGCATTTGGAACATCATTCAACGACCAATGGTATGTTCATTAACAATTTATTATCGATATCTTAATGTTATTATTATTGTTATTATTATTATGATTATTATTATGATTATGATTATTATCGTTAATGTTGTTCGTTTTTTCTTTTTATTTATGTTATAATTATAATTATTGTTACAATTATCGTTTCATGTTCTTTTTCGTTGATTTATTTTATTTGATTTATTTATTAATTTTTTTTTTTTTTTTTTCTTTTAGTTTTTTTTCTTTTTCTTGTTGTTGTTCTATATTAATTGATGGCCGCCAATGTTAGTTAACAATTACACTACAGCATCCAGCATCCAGCATAAGCATAAGTATAAGCATAAGCATCAGCAGCAGCAGTGTTAACAGCATCAGTTGTGTTAATTGTTAATCAATGTGTTTGATTGTTGTTGTTGTTGTTATTGTGTTAATATACCCTATACTATTCGAAATAACAATAAATATATGTATATATATTTTTTTTTTTATATATATACACACATACACACACACACACGCACACATATCACCATCACATGCATAAAATAAATATATATATATACCGACAGGTCATGTGTAAACATTTTCATTTATCTTTAGGTATACTTAAGGTAAACATTCCACCTACAAAAGGCCACAATTTATGCATACATTTCCATTGTAACGCAGTTACACGATCTGCCTTAAACTATTTCTATTACGAAGTTCAATACTTTTTTATTTTTATTTTCCTGTTTACTACTACAAGCGTAAGGACTTCATTAAAATGAACTAAAGCATTGCGATTTTATATAAAAAGATTTTTTTTTTTATTTTTTTTTTTTTTTATCCATCTTCTAAAAATAGAGGATTTTTAAAAGCATTTCGTTCCATCGAATTCATGCCAGCGGGCATTCAGCAAATGTTCAAGATATCGAATTCCATTTAATTTGCAGCTTAATTCCTTCAAAAGTCAAAACTTGTATTGTTGACGAACACTGTACACTTTCCCTTTTTTCGACAAACCAATTTCTTTTCGCTCTTCATATGCAGTCGTTCGATTTTCTTTGGTTATCTAGTAATAGTCGTTGCAGTTTAACGTGTGAGAACGTCAGATGATATGCGATTAGAAGAAATTTAACAACATCGCCGTGCATTCTTCTCACTACACTAGAGCCTTTTTTTTCTTTTCACTTTTATTTCAATTTTTACAGGTTATGTGATAATATTTTTGGCCGTACATTGTGACGTTTAACTTGTGATGATGTTAGCTAATAACAGATTAGGAAAACGTTAGCAACATAATCTTGTCTGTCCGTAGTATTCTTTTTACTTATTGCGCTTTCATCTACCCATCACCGAAGGATAGTGATGTAATCACTTTGTAAGAATGTTAGCAATATCCGGAAGAGAGTATCAGAGACCTCACAAAGCGTACATATACTTTTGAACTGCGTCAAATTCTGAATCAATTTAAGTATGTCTGTCTGTCCGTTTGCGTAATGTCTTTCGTAAGCATTCCCCTGGCCCCGAAAACAAACCGGCGATACAGCATGTGCGTAATGCAACATAAACTGAGGACATCTTTGTTTTCCATGTTTTTTGCTCATTGTTCAGAAACTATACTAGACATACACGGTATAGATTTTCATCTTCACCATACAAAAAATGGAAAAAACTAACTAAGCTCTTTTAATAAAAGTACAAGTATAAAAATTTATTTTTATCCTTTGTTTTTTTAGTCTCTTCTTCGAATAACGGTCGTGGGTGTAGAGGATTCGGTCAAAGGCGAAACTATTTCTTTATTTGTTATTCTTTTTTCTTTTGCTTCGATTTCTAGAGGTTATGTTGTTTTTTTGTTTCTTTTTAATAAAACCAATCGCCTTGAGCGCGTAACACGGAGGAAAGAAATGAGGAAAAAGAGAAAGAGGCTATAGGGATTGGCGACAGCTTAATGGATGTGTTTTTAGCCTTTATCAACACAGCTCTCACAGTAGCTGCAACAAAGAATTGTTCGAAGACCACACTGAGATCCGAATCTGCAAACATCGACTTAGTAGTCACGACTCTTGTTTGCTTAACTAATCGACTATGCAGCAGTCTATGATTTTATAACTGCACATTTCACTGCAAATGTCTTTGTACCTTGTGTACTACAACTTTTTTTATACCCCTCCCCGAAGGTTGAAGGGTACATTCATTTTGTCAAAAGCTTTGCAAAGCCCAGAAGGAAGCACGAGAGAGGCCATAAGCTGTATATACATTCTTGATCAACATCAAATTCTAAATCGATTTAAGCATATCCATCTGTCCGCCTGACCGTCTGTCCGTCTGTGTTATGTTTGCTGTAAACATTCTCTTAGCCGCAAAAATGAAACATTGGCAAATATATTGGAAGGTCTTGTCCACAGATTGATATTGGAAAGGGCCATATCGGTCGAAGGCCGCCACACCCACACACAGCACCACGTAAACTGAGAACAGGAATGAAAAATTGGTTTTTTGCCTATCACTCATCAACTATAGCAAATAAATGCACAAAAATTTGAGACCATATTCTATGGTCGATGCTGCAGTATTTGTGCACAAAAAGTGAAAAAAATTGACCACGCCTACTTAATATTATTGTGTATCAAAATTTAGTTATTTTTTCAATAACTTTATAAGGCGCAGAAATAAGCTTCAAAAATCCCATAAAGCAGACAAATTCTTGGCCAAATTCAAAACTTGAATGCACGTAAAACATGTCAGTCTGTTCTTCAGTCTATCTGTCGCTTTGCGCAATTTTGTGGTAGTATTTGTGGTAAGCATTGTTCCGTTAGCGAAAATGAACACAGCGCCTACAAATTCGCCAAAGAATTTGGAATTGATCCAAACTTTTCAAAGGACACGCCTACAACGCCCACATGCCTATACGATAAAAACTTTTATTTTGAAAATATGAGAAATCTGCTGCACCCAAACTCCATATTACAGAGCCTGAGAATTTTGTTGGGTGTAAAAGATTCGGTCCCTGTCGAATTTAATTTTCTTACTTGTTTTTAACTTACATTCGAATATTTCTTGCAATTTCCTTTCCCGCTGAACTGGTGAACATAGCGTGGAGACATACGGCAACCACATAACCATTTCTCTTTTGACCTGTTATTTATTTATTTATATATTTTTGTTGTTTTTGTAATTTCACTTTTGATTCTGCTATTGAGATACTTACGATGCTTAACTTACGTCAGTTGATCGATCACAAACATCATCAATATTGTTGCGTACACATGCAATATTCTTTTCGCCTTTTTTGCACTTTTGTTACGCTTTATCAATGCGGTTATCTTGCAATATTCCTTCGACATATTTCTTCGACATTTTAACTTGTTAAAGGCTATCACGAAAATGTTTCGCTACGTTGGCATTGTGCATTCAAACCAGATAATCATTGTTCACAATAATCAGAAATCACAACCAAGGTAAACGAAGAATTTAATATGACTTACGATAAAAAATGTGATCCGATATGTAATGTGTAAGCAAATAGGATATATATATATATATATCGTTAATTCCAAATTATTCTATAGCCAATTGGCAAAATTTTTATACATTATATTAATTACGTCAATTGGGCTCGTGTTTTGGGTTAACTTATTTTTCTACGCCTTGGTATGCACATCTTTATGGAGAATATTTATTCCCTGTGAAGTAATAAACAGGTCAAAATTTTTAAGATCAACGTTTGATTCGTTATTCTTGATTTTCTGTGCACGGCATCGACATTTACGTTTTCCTCGGATAGGATTCTTACCACATCACAAACTTTACCCTTTCACTTTAGTTTTTCAATTTCATTGAGTGAAAGTGATAGGTTTTGTAAGTCGATTTCACTCAATGCCCGAAAGGTATCCTCGAATAAATTTATTATTTATGCCATACACCGATTGTTGTACAAGGTGTATTAAGTTTGTAAGGGCGTATGTAACATTATTATACCGATCGATTTAAGCCTTTCCCTATCTCTCTGTCCGTGTGATGTCTACCGTTGTAAATTTGCGTTCAACCGAAAGATCGCAATTTTTGAGATGTTAGGCGAAATTTGGCACACCGACGGTTTCTGGCCCGCTTTTCAAGCACTGCCCACACAACGACTTTTCAAAGCAAGGCAAAAATTTTCATTTTCTTTCTTCTTTCGCTTCAGTTTTAGTGCTGGGACTAAATGTTTACAAATTCACAATACCAGAATTTATTTGAAACGCCATTAAGTCCACGGAAGCTCACTGCTTGACAGAAATTCAGCTCGGGCGATGTTATCGGAAAGTAAAGCTATTTTCAACTAATGAAAGGCGCCCGATGTATATCACACAAGTACAGAATTAAATAGACACGATATTGAAGTGTTCAAGTCCAATGGCGTTTAGTCGGTGAAAAGCAAACGCAATGATTGAAAAGAATGAAATTCGGTGAGGATCGTCCTTAATACAAAACAATTCATTTCTTTAAAAGTCAATCTAGAAAAAGTTGAAACAATTCCAATATGCATTTCATATAAATATTTATATATTTATAGATATAAAAAATTAAATAAATAAATATAACTAAGTATAACATGGACATGTATATGAAATAAATATGAAATATAAAAATGCAAAAGTACTTTACTGAGTCAAGTCCCGTCATAAAATGTCCTACTCCACATTATATGTATATTCGTGTGACGTTCTTTCAAGATAAGGAGATAGGAGAACTGGTTCGATCCGAGGCATTTGCAATAGCGTTCGTCTTTAGAGTAAAACCAGTCAATGTAGCAAATTTCCAATCAAAATATTTCAAAAAGAACGTCAGACTGATCGACGGACAGTTTAACTCGCTTCAGAACTTAATTTTCAATTTATTGGAATTAGAAAAGGTTGCTCTCTCTCTCTCTCTCTCAAGCCCTTCTGAGTTGCACATACATTCGTACAAGCTTTCTACTACCTTGCATCATACGTGGTTGTAGGGTATAATGAATAAATAAAATAAATCAATAAATAAATATACAT